GTATGAGCTCCCAATAAAATGATTTAAAAAAAAAAAAGATTCAGTGAGTAAATCCTGTGTTTAGATTCTGCTATTCCTAGAATGGGCTAAGGAATTTATATCTCTATGGGAGAATCTATGGGTAAAATCCAAGGAATCTGTGAATTTTAACTGAAAAAAATTTGTTACCAGGCAATTTTGACAAATTCAATACTTCCTTCACTTATGAACATAGGTCACAAAAGTAATGGCAGCAGTGGTTTTGACCATGTTATCAATAGAAATCATGGATATTTTCATATATTACACATTACAGTTTCTGCACATGTCTTGAAACAATGCTTAAATTCATTACCATTTAAAAATTATTATGGTTATTAAAACCCAATGATAGATCATATAATTTATTATGTTAACCAAAAAAAGCATACATAGCAATACACCATCCATTTAAAAATATTTTTATAATTATACTTTAATTGATTTCCTCTATAATTCTATGTTTGCGGGGTTTTTTTTTGCAGGGGGGTGTTTGCATATAGAACATTATTGCACAAAGGGGATATATAAAAATTCTACCATACTGGGAACGGATTACAAGAATCTATGTATAACCTCCTCCCTGGGGGATGGACAACAGAGAAGTGGGTAAGGGGAGACGTCGGACAGTGTACACATATGACAAAATAATTTATGAATTATGAAGGGTTCATGAGAGAGGGGGGAGGAAGGGGGAAAAATGAGGAGCCGATATTAATGGCTCAACTAGAAGGCAAATGTTGAGAATGATGATGGCAACAAATGTACAAATGTGCTTGACACAATGGATGTATTTATGGATTGTGTTAAGAATTGTACGAGCCCCCAGTAAAACAATTAAAAATATTTCCACCATACTTTCAAGAGTCCATGACAGAAAAAAAATTCAAAGTCCTGATTTAGACTGTGAGTCAAAAAAAATAAACAAGCATAAGCACATATAAGGTAATTCTCTGTGGATCAAAAACTCTTCTTTTACCTTCCACGTACTCAATTTTATCTCTACTATGACACAGGGAGCATATGTCACTAATTTTAGCAGCCCTCTCTTCAAAACTGGTTTACACATAGCTGTGAATGTCATATTGCCGCCTACCAGATCCCTGAGTCCCCAGGCTCATTGGCAGTCAGCCTTGCCTAAACACAGAGAACCTCAAACTAATATAATTTTTAAATGGGGATTTAAAAAGTTACCAAAAGAAGAGAAAATTGAGGTAGAGAACCTCCCCAAAGTATACTACACATCTTTCTAGTTTGCCATCAGTAAACTATAGGCAACTCAATTACCGTATATACTCGAGTATAAGCTGAGACACCTAATTTTACCACAAAAAAATGGGGGCTTTTTCAGTATAAAAATATGCTGAAAGTAGGGGAAAGGGGAAAAAATGAGGAGCTGATATGAGGGCTCAAGTAGAAAGAAAATGTTTTGAGAATGATGATGGCAACAATGTACAAATGTGCTTAACACAATGGATGGATGGATGGATGGATGGATTGTGATGAGTTGTACGAGCCCCCAATAAAATGACTTTTAAAAGAAAATTTAATTAATTAATTAAATGTGCTGGGAAAACTCGGCTTATACTCGAGTATATATATAAATGAGATGAAGTATGCAAATGAGCCCAACATAGTACCAAATATATGTGTGACTCATTTTTCTTCTTGAGTGAAGCACTGGTATACACTCCAAAATCAAATGTGTAAAAAGCATATTCCTTAAAAAAAAAAAAAAGAAAGAAAGAAAAACATATTCCTTGAGTTTATTGACAGAACTGTCGAAGGGAGTTAGGATTTTAATTTTGCCACAAATCATCCATAGGGCAAGTAACAAAACAAACTGTCCTTGAAGCACAGGTCCAGTTACCTATTTAATAGTAATACTGTGGAAACAGAAGTTAATGACTAGAAAGGAAGGCTGTGAATGGAAAGCTTAGTCTTAGGAAACAGAGGGTCAAGGTACTGTCTGAAGTCACCAGACAGGGCAATCACCAGAAGGGGTGCACCTAGAGCCCTGCCCAGCCCATCTCACCTTTCGAAGTCAGACAGCTCCAACAACAGGACGGAGGTGGTGGAAATGTGAAAGGTGCAAAAGCAACCACAATCACAGTCCAATAACAATGGGGGATATTTTAACTTTAGGCTTCCATGTAAGTGATGAAAAAAAAAAACCTTCAAAAAAAGATAATGACCTTTTGAGAAATTATTCTTTCCAATATATTTCAGGGTCACATACACTGTGGTGGAAGAGAAGCCTGTTTCTATTTGATTCCGAAGGGGAAAGTGCAGATGTCTACGAGCAGTAAAATCAGAAGATCTGACTTTAGATCAGATTTATGAAGATACTTGGGAAGAAAAGCACAAGGCCTATCTCAAAAAATTATTTTCGTAGCAGATGGGCTCACACATCAGAAGAATTGTGAGGACAGTGCTGTGTTTCATTCTGTTGCACACAGGGTCACTATGGGTCGGAACCAGCTCCATGGCGCCCAACATTAGTAGATATTTAACATTATTCATCATTAATAATTTATTTTCATTTGCTTGTCTTCTCGATGGGCACTTTATAAATGCATTTTCACCAGCTTTTATAACATGTCTAAGAGGAGTTATTCGACTTTAACAGACCCATGGGAGAATCCATGGATGGGATAAATGGGTTTACAAGTGTCATAAAATTGTATACAAAATTTAGTGAGTGGATACAGGCATTTGATTATCAAAGATTCTTTAACCAGAAAAACAGTTACCTCTGCCATGGTTGGAAAATCGAAAACAAGAGAATGACATTCTGCCCGCGGTCACAGGAGTGTGTCAGTGTTATATCAGATAGTCAGCTGGAACTGCTAAACCCAAAGCTCTGTCTGTCTCGATCACTCTCCTTACGAGATCATCTATCCTGAGAGGGGGTTCCCAAGGAAAACAAAACCCTACCTTTGTATGGGAAGAGAAACCACAGGCTGTGTGGGAGGAGAGGAGATGGGGACATTGTGTCAAGCAATCCGTTTTTTGAAAGAAATTTGCAAAGCAGGCTACATCAATAAGAATCATTCCATTCAGTAAACACAAAGGACCCCAGAGGGAGGGCTGCTGTCTCCAAGACTGAGTGTCCTCTGTCCACATACTGGGTCTTAGAAAGAATCTCTGGAGCCATTCCTTTTAGGTATGTAAAAGTCGCCCAAGGAAACATTTAGGAAGATATGCAACCACCCAATTTTGAGCTAAACACAGGCTATCCCCAACTAATTCCCTTTCAAGGACCTTTCTAAACTCTTCTGTCAGAAAGTGTACGAGTGTATATGTGCGTGGTGTAGTGGCAACTTTCAGATTAATACGGTGTCTGGTCAATAAAAATGACTCCAAGCTTCTCTTAGCTCTTTTTAATAAGCATTGCTGGCACAATCAGTAATGCCATCTGCTGTCAGAGAGGAGGGGGGGAGTGCAACTCACTTTAGTGCCTTTTATCTGTTCTCACAAACAGCACATAAGAAAAGGACTGAATAGAAACAAAAATAAGGGCTAAAGCCTCATTTGAATGACCCTGACTATCATTCTTGGTAGGTCAGTGCACAATGTACTGAGGTCCAGAATTAAAGCCTCCACGTGGCGCCTGAGTCACCACTAGTTACATTCCCAAGTCCATCCCTTTGCTTGCTCCTGAATGATGGTCAACACCGGTTTACCACCATTCTCGTAACCAAACCGCGCCCTCAGCCTTTCTACTTACCATTCCCTGTGCTGCATTATAAGAACAGAATCACTGAATGCCAACACTGAGAAGGGCCCTTCCGGTCATAATCTCCTCGCTCCCATTTGATTCTTGGCAGAATGTTTTTGTCCCACCCTTCCTGAGGTTTCCACATTCTCCAGAGAGCAGTTTCTCCTACCACAGATCTCTAATTGCCTCTATAAATAGCACTGTCCCTAGTTCAATATAAATGCTGGCTCTCCCTACTGAGGTCCTGAGTTGCAGCCCTCAGTCTTAACCAGTCACCTCAGTTCCGCTCCAGAAGCCTTAGATCAATCTGAGAGTAAGTGGTCCAGACCTCTCACATGCATCTCTGTACTTCCTATGTGCTTCCAGTGGACAGTCTCCTAACCACAGAATCATTGCATTTTAGACCTGAAAGATAACTCCAACAAAACAGGCTGGCTCCATGTTTTCCAAACTTCTTTTGAAACGAAATTTTACACCACCAACCTTGAAATGGGGGAAATCCATGTTACACCATAAACGCACCCACAACTCAAATAAAAGCCCCTTCTATTTTGATTCCACTATTTACATATTAGTTCTATTTTATGCCCCTTGCTGAAAATATGTCCGGTGCCATCCACTAACTTGATTGCACAACCCCTAGGATGGCAGCTCTGGTTTGGAAAATAGTGATCTAGTCCCAACTTCTCCCCCACTGGTGAGGAAACTTTGTGAGGCAACTTTCCCGGGCACAATTAGTTCCTCCACGACATTAAACCCCCGCCTGACAAGTCACCGGCCAGTGTTCTCTCCACCCGCGCTGCTCAGCCCAGCCCCCGGCCCGCAGTCTCGGGCCAGGCGCAAGCTCGGGCACCCACCCCACCGTCTTGGGGCAGGCAGACCTTCGAAGCCTCTGCTCCGCGGTCAGAGTCCCGTCGCGGCCACCGCTTCATGTTCCCTTAGGGCACAGTCCTCTCGGAGTCACCAGGCACCGAGCAGTCTCCTCCGAGCCATGGCGAATCCTCGGTCACTGTCCGCGGGCAGTCGTTGCCGCTTTCGCCCTGGGTCGGAGCCCCGCGCAGTCTCAGCCTCGGGCTCTCAGGTCAGAGACCCGTCGCAGACTGTATGCCTCGGTCACAGTCGCCCCGCTGTCACGGTCCCTCGGTCACGGTCGCCTCGCAGTCCCTGCCTCACACGCCCCTCGCTGTCACTGACCCACTCTAGTCTCCGTTCCCGTGCCCTGCGGGTCCCCGTCGCAGCGCCCCGTCTGGGCCGTAAATACCTGCATCCAACGGCTCCTCTCACCTGCAGCTCGCGCTCCGCAGCGTCGCGTCCCGCCGGTTTCGGTCGAGCGCCAAGTCACCGACAAGGGAAACTGGAGAGGTTGCGGGGTGACGCCCGGGGAAAGGCAGCTGACGGAACGGCGGGCCGGAAGTCCCGCCCACTGCCCTCCCTCTGGCCAATCCGGACACAGCTTCCCCCTGAAAACCGTGACCCTCACACAGTGGTTCCGCCTCCGCCGAAGCCCGGCGGGTGGAGGGGAGACTAGCGGAAAAGAGGGGAAACGGTTATGGGTCAGCCTGGAGCCAGGGCTAGAGGAGGCAGTGCGGCCGCTTCCTGTGGATGGGCCCGGCTGTGACCTTCGTCCACGTGTTCCCTGGCGGTTGGTCACGAAGTCTTACCTGGCGGCGCCCCTCCGAGAAGCCAGCGCGGCTTCCCCCGCGGCCGCGCGGCCAGCGCGCTCGCTCGCTCGCGGGCGTCCACGAAGCGGAGGGCCGGGCGCTGCCCACTCGGAGCTCCCTCGCCCGTCATTGTGCCCCGCAGCGCCGGCTTCCGCCGCGTCGGCGACGTGCACACCCCCCAGCGAAGTCATCCGAAAGCCCGTGGCTGGCCCAGACTTCATTTGGGCCCATCAGCTGGAGAGTGTGGTGGGTCCCTGGTCAAGTTCTCACACCGGCGTGTGCCCGGGCGTCTCACACGCAGCCACCGCGCCGCTCACAGTGCGGTATTGCTAGGATGCTAAACGGTCAGGTGATACACTTCTAAAAACCAGCGAATGGAAGCGCTGCGGACCACGACAGGCTGATCCGGTGTGTGCCGGGAGTCGGAGTGGCATCTAACAGCAAGGAATCAAAGCAGGGTTAAGTTGAACGGGAGAGAATTTAAGGGAGGTCATTGTGTTGTACATGAACCGGACAAGAACAACTCAGTCTCTGGTAAGAAGCAAAACAGTTTATTAAAGGGAGACAGAAAAGAGAAAAAAGAACCTGCGCAGGGACCAGCCCTCTGAGAGGGAGAGTGACTGGCCCCGATCGCTTCCAGACTTGGGTTTTTATAAGGTGGGGTAAACAATGGGGGCTTTGCAGCTGTGCAAGCAAGCAAGCAAGGACAAAAGCAGACCTTGCAGTTAGCCTTGACATTTTTAAACGTTTTTTCTTCGAGATAGATGTGTGGCCTTATCTTGCAGCTGCTATTTTCTGGCAAATGTGCTTGACCTTAACCTTGATACAAAATGGAGCCTGCTACAAGATGGTTCCACTCAGGCTAACTATCACAATTGGAAGGAAGCCCCGTCTAACCGGGTGACTTTTCCTTTCAGAGAATCAACCTTTAGTGGGGGTCCCTTTTGATACTGTAGATGTAAGGCAAGTAGATACCCAGTGTGATGGAGGAATGTACACAGAGGTCCTTTGGTGACTGAAAAGGAAAGGGACGATGAGATGGTAAATGTTAGGGGTCACTTGGGTAGACCAGGAGACCAGTGATTTCACAGACACTGGGCTAGGTGCTCTTCTAGAATGTATGATTATAATCTGATGACCTCCCATGATAGGATAGGATATGATAAAGCCAATCAGTTGAAATGGGACTTTCCTTGGGGATATCGATGGGTAAGATTAGGGACAAAGGGGGTTGTTTTACCAAATGCATACACTAAATGGAAATTAACTGGCCATGTCATAATAAAGGAGTTTGAAAGAAATCAGGCACACATTAGAAACCTATGGGGGCGGGAATAAGGATCCAAAGCTGGACAAGTGCAAGCTGAGGTCACTTAGGCACAAGTGAAGGTCAACCTGGGCATGCACACTAGACACCAGCAATATTACCTCATACATGCACCTGAACCCAGCCACTAGGAAAGGCCAATGCGCTCAACCATGCCCCCTCTGCGCCCCGCCTCACGCCCCCCACCCCCACCCCACATCCCACACACACAGACACACAGAAGGGGATAAAAAGAAACTGAAGGCAGGCCTCTCACTTTCAGTTTGAAGGGTAAGACCTCTCCCATGAGTGTGCCCACCCTCTCCCCATTTTCAGTAAAGGAGCTTGCTCTCTTTCAGCAAGTGCTACCCCCACCCTCACCCCAAGTTCCAGGACTCCTCTTTTGGCTCCAGGGCCTCCTCTTTCCAGCCACTTTCCCACGTGGTTTTCGTCCTTCCCTGAAGCAGCCATTTTCAGTTTCAAACACTCCCACAGTCCAGTCAGGCGACCTTGCATGCTTTCCTGGGATAGCCTATACTGAGACTATTTCTCGAAACTTCCCTTTGTCTCATAAAAGCTACTTGGATTTACAAAACTGCTTTTGAGTGGATTTTTTTTTTCTGAGTAGATTTTCAGCGTTGAGAAGAACCTGGAAAAACCATCCCAGAAACCTAAAAATATAACCTGTCTTCAATATAGAAATGGATGCTTGGGCTGGGCGTGCGCTCTCAGCCTGGCACTTTCTCCTCACCTGGCTTCCGGCTCCCGAGATGAAAACCCACAGAATAACCCAGGCTTCGGCCTAGCCAATGGATTGTGAGTTTGCCTGCTCCCACAATTACACAAGCCATTTCCTTTAAGTAAATAAGTATATACAAGGGGTTACTCTACCCCCCCACCAAAAAAAAAACCCATTTTTTTTCAAAGCTATGTATTTAAATTTTTTTTACTAAACAACCATATCACCTTCAAAGTACTCTCCATTACAATTTACATTTGTCAAATCTGTGATTCCATTCTTGGAAACATTTTTCAAACTCATCTGTTTGGATGGCTGACAGTGCCTTCACGCCCACCCCACCCCACCCTTTTTTTTCTTCACCTCGTCTACATCATCAAATTGCTGTACTTTCATGTCCTTTTGCATTTACCGAAACAAAAAGAAGTCACACGGAGCAAGGTCTGGTGAGTAAGGTGCATGGGGCAAGAGAGGCATGCTGTTTGTTTTTTTTTGCCAAACGTTGGCACACTGAGATGGCTGTGTGAGCAGGTATACTGTCGTTGTGGCAAAACTAGTTCTTGTCTGCCTTTTTTGTCGCACACTGTTACACAATCTTTTCAGAACCTCTAAATAGAAAGCTTGATGAACAGTCTGATCTGGTGAAACGAACTCCAAAGTCAACATTTTCATCTATTCAGGAAGTTGATGGACGTCCAGAACGAGGTTTGTCATCAATCAACATTTCACCTTTTTTTGAAACAAGAAAATCACTCCTACACTTGAGTTTTTCCCCTAGCCCTGTCCTTGTAAGCTGTGTTCAACATCACAACAGTTTCTGCAGCATTTTTTCTGAGCAGGAAACAAAATTTCACAGCCAAAAGCTGTTCTCTTAAATCAGCCATCACAAAAAACAAGGTTCAAGTGAAACTGCTTTCACGAAAAAAATTCAGTGTGACCAGCGAGAACCTTCCCAGGTGACGCCACTGGATGCACTAATTCAGAGTAAGTTGCTTGTTGCTCACCTGGAGGGGAAAATGTGTACAATGAAGGTTCTGCGCTGCCCAATGCAATTCCAGTTTTTTTGGGGGGGAGGGGGTACTCCCCTGTAGTTATAGATCATTGGTTTTGTCCCTCTAGAGAACCGTGGCGAAAACAATGAGTAAACTTGTGCATCTCCCCAGGAACCTCCAGGGAGAAAAAGAAGAAAAAAGACTTAAATTCTGGTCTTTTCCCTTTTGAGTCTCACCAATACGTGTTTGAGCATGCCTGATAGACTGTGGTGCCTAAGTAAGATCAGGTAGCTGAAGAAGATAACATGGACTCTGGGGGGAAATCACTGCAAAGACAGCTAAGAATGTTAGAGAATGCTAAGAGAATCCTCGCTTCAGACATAGCTGGGGGTGCAATGGTTAAGTGCTCCAGTTCAAATCTCCCAGCCACTCTGAGAAAGAGCAATGTGGCAGTGTGCTTCCACTAAAAATGACAGCCTTGGAACCCCCATGAGGCAGCTCTACTCTGTCCTGCAATCAACTCCACAGCAATAGGTTTGCTTAGATTTCATTCCATACACATACAACTTGGGCCCTCTGAGACCCTAATACTAGGGACAAACCCGGGGGGTGGGGGGAGATGGGTGTTGAAGGTAATAAGCTATGTACAGCAGAGAGTGACCGTAACTAAGCAAAACCACTGTAGCGAGAGGTAAAGGCAACAATTCAAAATATAGAATAAGAAAACCTAAATACTAATCCATCTCAGTGTCATTTATAATAGTGGAAATTCAAAATACACAGTCCCTCAACAGGGAAATGGCAAAAATCCCCATGACATAACCTAATGCAATAAATAAAACTTAGATTCTGCTTATTAAAATCAGAGTATAAATAAAATACTGTCAAAACAGTTTATGACACTTTGAGAAGTGAAATAAATCAAGGTACAAAGTTGCACATATTATTGATCTAACCATACAAATACAAAAGCACTGGTAGAAAATGTATCAAATATTTACAGTTGGTTATGTTTGAGCAGTTGAATGATGAATTTCCCCTACACTTTCCTCTTCAAATGTAATAATATATTGTCACAAAATTAAAATATTAAAAGTATAAAGCCTAATAATTGCCAAACTGCCAAGTTGTGTCTGATCAAGTGCTTAACAATGTTTAAAAGTTCACATTTCTTCAGTCATCTCTTCCCCGTCTTTCAAAGATTCAATAATAGAAACATCCAAATGCTGCAACAATACAGAATAAACTTTCCTGAAAAACAAACAGAACATACACACATGCACATAAATCCAGAATGTCAATACTTGTGAGGGCATCAGGGGCAGCACGGACAACTGAAATCACCACCCCCCAGACCGTGTTCCAACTTTAAATCACAAAAAGCTGCTTTCTGAGGGTAACAATGAAATTATTTGCCAAGAGTACGGTAGATCTACCTATAACCCCCTCCCAAGGGGCCAGACAACAGAAAAGTGGGTGAAGGGAGACATTGGTCAGTATAAGACATGGGGAAATTTTTAAAAATAAATTATCAAGGGTTCATGAGGGATGGAGGGGAGGGGAGGGGAGAAAATGAGCTGATAGCAAGGGCTCAAGTCGAAAGAAAATATTTTGAGAATGATGATGGCAATATATGTACAAATGTGCTTGAAACAATGGATGGATGGATGAATTGTGATAAGAGCTGTAAGAGCCCCCAATAACATGATTTTTTAAAAATTAAACTTTTAACATATAGAAATAAAATCCACACTAATGGATTTTATGTAATGCATACTCATAAAATAACTTTTCTATTTTCCCCGCTTTGTCATAGAAATTAAATGGAATGCTAATAAAAAACCCCTTGTCTGTCTTCTAGGGAGCCCTGAGGGTGCTGTGGTTAAAACTTGGTTCATACTCACCAGGCCCTCCACAGGAGGAGGATGGAATCGTTTGCTTCTGTAAATAGGACGGGATAGAACTGCCCTGTGAGTTTCAGAGGGCATTACTCTTTGGGGGAGTAAAAAGCCTCCTCTTCCTTCCTTGCAGCAGCTGATGGTTTCAAACTGTCACCCTTGTGGACGGCAGCCCAACATGTAACCACTATGCCACCAAGAAGCTCTTGTAAATAATAAGAGCGATCTCCAAATTCAGACTTACAGAGGTTTATATCATCTGTATATGCATACAGGCCTCCCTATGTTTTTAGTTTAATGATAGAAAAAAGCAACAGTCAATCTGCTCACCCACAAAGAGAATTAAGACAAATGTCTAAAACGAAAGTGTCAAAAAAAAGAAAGTGGCTTTATATCTTCATAAATACTAAGTAATTCACTTGAAATACCCATGTTTCCTTAGAAAAGTTAACCAAAAAATCCAAATAAACTTACATTCATGAAAACATCATGAACATAGTTGTCAGTGTCTGCATCCCAGAAACAGCGAGCGGCCATGCTAGAGAGGCAGAGAAGCAACAAGAATCATTAGTAGGGTGACCAGACTATGCAGAACGCCTGTTTGTCAGGAGCACATGTTTCCCTTGATATGTTCATATAGCTAAGTGACCCCCAACCTTTTTCTCAAGTTAACATACAGAGGAATCCCAGCCTGTTCAGCAGAGTACAATGGAGAAACTGGAAGTGACTAGAGTCATAGGTGAGGCTGCTGGCAGCTAAAATGACCAGGAGTTGATTCGATGTCCCCGAGGGCTGGTTGGAGATTTTGGACTAGATTGTTTCGTCCTAAGAGTTTGATATGGGCTGACAACAACTAACAAAAGATGAGCGTCTGCGACTTTTAGATAAAACAATCATTTAAGGATTTATGGCTGAAAGAAAAAGGGGGGGGGAAAGATTTATGACTGAAATGGGCTCAATTCCTCGACATTAGGATAAATAGGTAGGCCTTGAAAGGTCCCAAGAGATTCTTTTGTTCAATCTGATCCTTTTGTGTTGTTGTTGCTGTGGGGTACCGTGGAGTCAGCTCCAACTCCTGTGACTGTCCCTGGAAGAGTAGAACTGTCTACAGTGACATCAGGCTGCAATCTTTACAGGAGCAGATGGCCAGGATAGAATCCCACAAAAGCAAGAAGAAAACACTGAATTCTGAGTTCAATCTCCTATATAATCTTAAATCTAAAATTGTCTCTCACTGCCATCGAGTCAATACTGACTCCTAGTGACCCAACAGGACAGGGTAGAACTACCCCTGTGAGTTTCAGAGACTGGACTTATTTATGGAACTTGAAAGACTGTTTTTCTCCCTCGGAGTGACTGGTGATTTCAAACTGCTGACCTTGCAAACCGCAGCCCAAATGCATAAACACTATTCCACCAAGGCTCCAATGATCTCTACACGAGACTATATTACTTAATTTCTTAAAGTGGCCATTTTCTGCTATACTTGATCTATATGCTGCATTCTCTTCTCCCCATTTCTTGAGTAAGGAAAGAAAGTGAGTCAAAATAAAGGCCAATTAAAATCTGGAAACCACGTACACGCCCACTAGTAGCAGACCAGCTCTCTGGGTGTTACAAGCAGTTAAATGAGCAGCTACTCACTGAAAGGCAGGTGGTCAAAACCCGCTCAGAGGTACCTCCGAAGTAAGACCTAGAAACCTGTTGCCAAAAGGTGACAGTCCAGGAAACTGTGGAGTGCAGCAAACGGTGACGCGTGCGGTCACCATGTGCTGGATCTGTTTGGCAGCAACAGATGCACCAGACTGGAAACAAAGTGATGGCGTTTCCTAGCACCTCAATTTGATGCAGCCCCTAAAGA